TGAGAATGGAAACAACGCCAAAGTAATGGGCTCATTACATGACTTGTTAGTCTGCAGTGACTCGCAGTACAGGGGACAAGTGAAAAAAACATAACATTTTCATCTGTATTAAAGGGACACCTGACCTGGTTTCCGACCGGTGCTGCTCCCCACCAATAGGCGAAGCCTTCACACTGGGGCTTACTTGAGGGGGATGCTCGTATCACTCCCTCAAGTGCCCTCCCCGACATAAGTTTCTTATAAAAAAAAAAAAGAGTGAGAATATGACTTTAGTCCAACAACTCTGGACGTTGGTCACCCCAGAAGAATCGTCGCCGCTCTTTTGCAATGGCGGCCTTGTGGCAAGGGTTGTATCCACTGCCTAGCCCGACGCAACAGCGATAGTGGCATTAACAACGACGATGGCACCAGAAATTAGCGACGAGGGAAATGAGATGTGCTCAACGAACGGGAGGCGAAAGCGCATCGCCCATGCCACATGGATTGTCCAGACCCATCATTTTTGGACAACGTGAAATCGTCAAAGCGCACTAACATTTCGGAACGTGGGCTGGTCTGTGTAGGGAGAAGATTATATATTACACATCTCCTGCACTATGTGTTTGTTATACTGCATGAGTGATAGCCAATTGAAAAAAATAATGGTGGTACTTTTCTCTGGTAAAGAAAAACGAATGGAAATTTGACTAGAGGCACTAGTAAACTTACCACCACTAAGGGGCTCGTTAGACACTCCTCGGGCATGTAAAATCTACATTGGACGTGATCGTTTCACCTATCCTCGGGGAAAAAATTGGAAAAAGAGAATGAAAACATTTCTTGGTAGCGTTCTCGTGGCCCAGCCAATTTGTGCCCTAGTGCAATGGACCTCGCAAGGTCCCTCAGAGTTGAAGGATCCGCTATAATCGGAGCGACGAAGGCACATATCGTCGACAACTTTTTTTTCTTCGGGTGGTCCATTGGTGTTCCGCCAGCGGCTGCACGGCCTCCACGTTGGGATTTCAGGCAATGGGTCGCCAACGGTTACCGTAAGGAGACGACCGTCATCGGGGTTCGCCTTCAATTGGGGTTGTCGTCGCTGTGTGTCCCGCCAACTTCATAAGGGTTCAAAGGTCGAAAAAATTAAATATTTTTCCCGTTCCCCCTCCCACATCCCCGCTCATGTCGGCAAGGTGCGTCGAATGCTATCCTCTACCGTTTTCTCCCTTCATCGTCGTCGTTTGGTAGACCTCCAGCGCCTTCGTGGACTTACGTGTGACGCGCAACCTCACGCCCTGCGCTGTCTTCCGTTCAGAGTGCTAAGGGTGTGAAAAGAAGGCCCGGGAAAACAACAAGATGGGGTGTGCCAATGATTTTTGGAAAATTGAGTGTGGGGACACAGACATAACTGAAATCCCCCATGTTGGTCCGATGAAGTAAGTCCGTTGCTTTCGCGCCTCGCGGAATGCGCGCGGGGGCATGGCGAGGAAAGAGAAAAATCCAAATTCAATCCAAAAAGTATTGTCGAACTTCCCACCAAGCTACGACTCTTCGTTTAGAGCGAAAGGGCTTCGGTACACTCCGCGTGTCCCGTTTCCGTATCAAGTTCCGACGTCGCTCGTTGGTCAGTTCCGAGTCCGACGTGGAGGGTCTCAGTCGCGTGGCTCTTTCCTTGTGCTCGTCTTCACTCCGTATGCGGTAGTGGAAGCCCTTTGATTCGTAGCGGTCGAAGCGCTGGCACTCAGTGCACAGGGTTCGAGGCCAATGGGGCGCCACTTCCATCCACGGAATGACAATCAGCTCGTTAAATGGCAACAATACTTAGTAAGGTGGGAAGTGCGTATTGATAATGACAAAGCCCGCGTCCACGAATCCAGAACAACGATTTTCAGGAGGGAAGTAATATTGTCCGCCGATCCGTGCGACAGCTTCTCGTACGTCCCACTCACAAACACGGGTCCTTTCCTCGTTGTAAGGGAAGGGGCGCGTTAGCGTGGGAGACATGGGAGGCTGGCGCCCAATCGAGGTGCGCCCGTCAGTCCACATATCAATCAATCGAAATGAGTTTGCAAAAAACCCCGAGACGTCATCAAAAAACA